TACACAGTTATAAATTTCCAATTTTCTACTAGTGTTTAGTATTTAAATAATAACACATTTATAAACATATTTTTAAAAAATTTCCATATTGACACTATAGACCAATTTTATGTGACGTATAAAGCAAAATGTAAACAATATGCGTGCGCATACTGGCAGGCAAAACAAATTTAAATATTGTTTTAACTATTGTCAACATTACTTATAAACAGCATTTAAAATATTAAAATAATATTTATCATTAAATAAATAATGGATATTGTTAGTGTGGTTGAGTTAAATCCGGAAAATTTTAATGAAAGTGTTTGGCAGAAAGACATTACAAAGTTGCCTGACATTACTTGGAGAGACGTGATAAGTTTTCTCATAGACACTCCTAGTGAGTTTACAAAAGAAAATACTAAGGCATACAAGTCATTGGAAGCATATAAAACATATTTTTTGTGTGGTCACGTGCAAGATTGTTTGTATGCTCCAAGTTTCAATGAAGATTATTGTTTTATAAAAACAATAATCTTCATTGAAACTTGGAGCATACAAAAAAAAGGTTATATATTATAGACATTGATTTCTAAACTGATTTGTATGCTCCTAATTATTAGGAGCATACAATTCAGTTATTATTAGGCTAATAATATTAAGATATAAGTAACATTAGACGATTTTTGTTCACGATCAATATTTTTTTATTTTACTGATCTTTATTTAGGTTCTTCCAAGCCAGAGAGTTAGCGTAAATAGTTGCATGTATGAAGTATGGGTTTGTCTTCACAGAGGCGGGTGGATTAAAAGAGCCAGCTGCAATTGTCCAGTAGGACTAGGTTCAGTCTGTTCACATATTGCAGCCCTACTTTTTAAACTTGAGGCTACTGTGCACCACTGATTAAATAGAGAGGATGCATCTACAAGTCAGCTTTGTTTATGGAATGCCTCAAAACGCAGTGTCAATGCAACACCATTAAGTGCAATGAATTTTAGCACAAATAAAAAAAGGGGAGAGTTACCCTCATTTAATAATATTGTTCATAAAAAAAATAATAAAAAGCAAAAGAGCATCAACCATGTTTAAAGTAAATGGAAACTACTCGTATATTGATCCATCACATTGCATATCAGTAAGCGACTTTAACAATTTACGTCAATCCAATCCTAAAGCTGTTATATTTACTAGCTTAGATTGTAATAGCAATCAAGTGATACTGAGTCAGGTTCAGAAGATGAGACAAGTTGTTTACCAGAACCTATAACTAGTTTGTTTGATCCTACTTGCAATAATTCAACTGAATTCCAGCTTTTAAAACATTCCAAGCAACTATATGAAGACTTTAGCCAAACGTATTTTGAAAAACAATATGATCAACTTGCTAAAGTAACATATCAGCAAAATCAGTTATCAGCTTGGCAGGTTCATCCGGCAGGAAGAATTACAGCTTCAATATGTTTTAATGCATTTCACACAAATAAAGACGTTTTGAGTGAATCTCTCATACAAGAAATCATGCAATATAAAAAAGAATTTAAGACCAAATTCACACAATATGGTAAAAAAATGGAGTGTTTTGCTAAAAATACTTTTTGTGAAATCCAGTTAAGAAGCATAAAAATTTTGTGTTCGTTGACTCTGGTTTTCATGTTATGGCTGATCTGCCTTTTTTAAGAGCAACTCCTGATGGAATATTTATTTTTTCTTGCCATGGAAAAGGTATTTTAGAGATAAAGTGTCCATTTAATTATAAAAATGGTTTTATTAACTGGCAAAGTAATGAGAAATTTTCTCTTAACAGTGATGGTCCGAAATCAAATCATCCTTATTTTTTCCAAATGTAGTTACAAATGTTTGTTTGCAAAATTACCTTTGGTGAGTTTTTTATGTGGTCCCTAGTTAAGCAGAACAATTATTTACAATGCATTGTACAGTGTGATGATGCGTTTCTTGATATTCAGGCTTGGTTGGGAAGCAGGTGCGATCACACTCGATAACTGACCACGGAAATAATATTTAGTTGCAAAAAACCGGCCAGATTTTATAGTCGTTTTGAGAACATTTAAGTTTATGTATGTTAAATTTTAAAATAATTTGTTTTATGGACTTACATGGAAACATACATAAACTTGAATGTTCTCAAACATCTTAGTGCGGAAAAATAAAAAAAGAATATTTGCGAACACAAAAAACCCGCCAAATCTACGAACAACTAATTCTAATGGTTCCAAAGATACTAACTGAAATTTCAAGAGTATTTTAAAAATATTAACCGAATGTCCTGAGTATTCTGTGGAAATATTTAAAAAAATAGTATTATTTGAATTTTTTTACGTTTTCGTGTGATTTCTAGCATAAATTATTTTAAGAATATACTACTAAACGAACTATTATTTTAATTTATAGAGCCACATCTACAAAGCTATAAATGTTTTAAACTAACATTATTTGTTTACAATAATAAATGTTTAAAAGTTATATTTTTTAACTTTTCAAGGTTTTGTAAATATATTATAG